AGGAGAATATCATTTTTATCCGTTGTCTGATATCTATGTAAATTACAAATATCTCCCGACAAGATGCTTAGACGAGATGGGATGTTGTTCCCTCTTTTATACAAAAAATAAATGCCTGATACGTATCTCGTCTCCGCTTCATCCTGACTTTTCACCGAAATATGAAGATGTTCCCGCAGTTAGAGGAAAATGGAAAACAGAATGGAAGCCAATGAGATTCGCAAGCTTGCCGATGCAAATTCCACAATTGTTTATGCCTTTTGTGCTACAAGCACAACAAATCCCTATTTCTGTCAGCGCAGGCATGTTGTTAGCGCTGGGGCTAATGCATTTAACATGAGTTGGTGGATTGCATCTGGTTTCGAGTTTGTAGGAGGTTTGACTAAAAATATTGAGATTTTTTTTATTGCACATGTGTTGTAGGATCAACAGTTAAGTATTTCCTTTGCCTGATTCTGTGCTTGAAGTTCTGCCTATTGCATTGCATATACAGGGTGACTTGTAATGTCACGTATTCCTGTTAAGGGGTGATAGATTATGTCAAAAGCAACCGATTTTGTCCTATAATGTCCTATCCAGAAGTTAACCGTTTTTGAGTTATTTGAATTTTTTTTTTATTTTTTATTTCGAATTCAGACGGTTAAATTTGAAATACAAAAAAACTACATGTTTGATTTTGAGTTTTTTGTCATCGTCGCATAGCGGACACTCCAATAGTTCATAATAAGTAATAAAATGTTGAAAACTTACAAAAGCTTTAAAATTACGCTTTTGAAATGTATGATTTTCTTACTTTTTTACTAACTTATTCGATAAAAATGCAATTTTCTGTAAAAAATCTCCTAGTAATGAAATGTGCAAATTATGTAAATAATATCTCTATCTAACAAGCTTTCATTTAAGGTATAAAAGTTACAACAAACTCAAGTACAAAGACATAAAATTAAAAAAGATGAGTAAAGTTGTACGAACGATAATTACGTAGGATAAATAAAAGGCTTTTATTTTAATTACAGTTTTATTTAATTACATTTCCTTTAGTATTGTACAGATTCTGCTCAAATTGCAATCCCCTGTTACGAATACACGCCCGCATTCTCTTACGTAATTCACTTTTGGTAATTCTAGTTGTTAAGCGGCTTTTTAATTGGTCAGCTGCACTGATTATCCTTGTAATTAATTCATAGCGCGTTGGTACGGGCGAAACATCGTACATCAGGCTTTTCATATGTCCCCACACATAGTAATCCATCGGTGTGAGATCTGGGCTTCTTGCTGGCCAGGCAATGGGCCCGCCTGTGTCAATCCATTGATTTGGAAATTTAGAGTCTAAATAAGCCCGTACTAATCTACTGTAGTGTGCGGGACAGCCGTCGTGCTGGAACCGCATATTTTGTCTCGTCGCCAATGGACGTCTTCCATTAAAGGAAACAAGTGATTTTTCAAGAACTCTTCATACACTTCTCCATTTAAATTGGCGGGCAGAAAATGAGGTCCAATTAAATATCCATCAATGATGCCCATCCACACATTGACTGAAAACCGGCTCAGAGACTCCGTCGGTCTTATTTTTCGGGGGTTTAAAGCTTCTTTATCAGCCCAGTAATGAGCATTATGGTTGTTAGTGATCCCGTCCTTATCAAACTTCGATTCATCGGTCCACAGAATTTTCTTAAAATAGTCTGGATCTTCTGCATCTGCATGTAACATGTACCTGCAGAAATCTAATCGTCTTGCAGGATCGCCCTCTTCAATCACATGCACAGGCGTGTAGTGATAAGGGTATAATTTTGCAGTATGCACAGTAAACAATACTTTGTATTGTGATATACCCAACTGAGCAGCCACAATGCGCGTAGACGTAGTAGGGTCTTCCTGAAACACACGAAGGATTTCCTCTTCATCTTCAGGATAGACTCGGGGTCGATCAGCATCACTATGTTGCCTTTGAACACGTCCGGTTTGGCGGATGCGCCGATACACAGATTCAAACACAGTAACATGAGGTGTTCGGCGATTCGGGAAACGTTGCCGATATTGATCGCGGGCAGCTGCCAAATCGCCGTTACAAAGTCCATAACAGAACATTATGTCTGCGTATTCTTCATTTGTAAAAGTTGGCCCGTGCTAGCAATGGCGAGGTCCTGGCGGATCTTCTGCGTCTGCCATGATGTTAAAGAAACCACTTGAAATGAACTAGGAAACTCGAAAATAATAATCGTACGTAAAACGTGTGCGCGTACGCAGTAGTTGATACCAACTAAACCTAATTCTCACTCGGCGTGCGGCGATGGCGTAACTACAATGATGAATAATAACAGCTCCCTCTCTCTCGCTCCTCCACTAAGTCAGCTCTTCTCGCTCGCTTCCTCGTTGAGCCGATGCCATAAAACAATCATGGCATGCGAGTCCTTTGAGGACAGTAACGACTTGTTAAAACAGGTAATACAAATTCCTTAAAAATCCAGCCTGTGTGGGTGTCATTGTTGTTTCTCTGCATGTACTTCAGATAATTGAACGCTTAATACCTCAAATGAAAACTTGTTAGATAGAGATATTATTTATATAATTTGCAGATTTCATTACTAGGAGATTTTGTACAGTAAATTGCATTTTTTATCGAATAATTTAGTAAAAAAAAGAAAATGATACTTTTAAAAACCGTAATTTTAAAACGTTTGTAGCTTTTCAACATTTTATTACTTATTATGAACTATTGGAATATCTGCTATGCGACGATAACAAAAAACTCAAATTCAAGCATGCAGTTTTTTGTATTCCAATTTTACCCGTCTGAAATCGGAATAAAAAATAAAAACTTAAAATTCAAATAACTCAAAAATAATAAGATATGATGGGACAAAATCGGTTGCTTTTGACCTAATCTATCACCCCTTAACAGGAATACGTGACATTACAAGTCAACTGCAACATTTGACATCGCATCTACACTGAGTCCACTGACCCATTTCGCGAAACAACAACAATCTTTTTAAAAATGCCTTATAAAAGTTAGATTCCTTTGGAGGTGGATAGGTGCATCAAAAGCAGAAAATCATTTAAAAATGCTTTGAACTGATCGTAAGCTATTTTGAATCGCCTCCACTGCTAGGAAATTTCTTGCTAAAGCTTGCATTTTGTATGGGAATCTATTAATACATAATACATAATTTCTACGATCTACCAGTACTTCATTGTAAATTAAGGCCGCTAAATATTTAGCTTCCAAAATGAACTTCCTACCTGAGAAAACAACAGCGTGAAGTATGGTTACACTACTCCCCAGAGGTGCACTGTTACCGTAACGTTCAACCCACATCATGACTGAATAATATGCTGTCAAACTAATAAAAGCAATATTCGTTCAAAATTTTCATGTGCTCGTTTTTCCAAAACGACGTTTACTTATAGTTGCTCATTCTGATATGTGTTAACAGGTCGCATGGAGGAAGCAGATCATAAAGCCATTAAAAAACAAAAACTAAATACCGACAAATTGTCTGATTTCTGGTTTCTAGGTTACCAGACCTGACAGACTTACAAACTGACACTATGGCACAAGAGGTAAGGTCCCACGGACCGCTCTGACAACGATGGCTTGACTAACTTGACTTTTTATTCTTGTGAGATGTTCAAGAAGGTCGTAAAAATACCATAAATCAGGAAGCCGCCAGCCAAGGACAGAGTTGTGTTTGAATAATACCTTCCAAAAATTTGCTTTGGAACCTATCTATGAAAATGTATAAAACTGCACTGCTGAAGGATTATTTTTCGCGTCGGCATTAAACGCGTCAACCAATCCTGACTGTTTGCATATATTTCAAGGCACTGGCAAATTTGAATTTGAAATCCCCATTTCTTGATATCCAGGTGGCTGCGGAGGCTGTGTGTTGCAGTCAGGACCTTTGCAGTGCCGACTTATTTATAGTCCAAGCAAAATATATTAATTTTTCACTATGCATATTTACTTCTAATTAGATGTGCTCAAAATAATTATTTTCAGCTATTGGTGCCTTCTACACTGTTGCTCTTCACCCAAATACATAATATAAATATGCAGATAACATTAGTCTTGATCATTATTTAGCCCTATATTATTAAATGACCAAGTGCGGTAAATATTTATTTATAAAAGCATGTTTGATGGAATTATAGAATAAAACAGTAGGTATACTATGGTAATGAGCCGTATTCATAAAAGAGAAGCATATCCTCGGAAGCATAAGGTAAAAGTATAAGGCCAGGCCTTCGGAGACAAAGGTAGAAGTATAAGCATACCGTTGTTGTCATATGCATAATGATTAACTTATACTCGCGAGGATATCCTCCAAGAAGAAGTAAAAGGTTGACTGGCATTTCTATCTAGATCGACATGTCCTTACTTGTTCCAGCTTGTAGTTAACGTGGGAGTTCGTTCACTCAGCATCACTCCAGAGCTTACACAGACCGTTCCGTATTTTTACTGGATACAGTTTTTCATCAAATTAATAAGCATGTCATCCTCAAGTGATGAGAAAACTATAGAAAATAATGGCAACGACCTGCAGTTCATCGCAGATGAAATTGCCATTGCTCCCATTATTTTGCAAAAGTCACAATTTCCAAAAATAAAAATGAGAAAGGACGATGCCTTGAAGAATATTTTGAAAAAATATGAATCAACATTCGGTAAACCATTAGATCCTGAAGGCTTATTAAAAAAAATCAACAACATGAAATCTAGATTGAAGAAAAAACAGATCTAAATAAACTGGTAATAAAGCAATTAAATCGTTAGACATTGCCACCAAAAAGAAAATTATCATCAGAGAAATACGAAACTGAGGAAACCAAAGGGTTAACTACAAAAGAACTGCAACGTCTAGTGCTATTACAGCAGTACCAAACAAGTATTTTACAACTAGAGTATTATAAAATGAAATTAGAAATGATGCAGCGTCATAAGCCACCAGTAACTTATGTTCACGAAAATAAAACTTATTATAACTTATAAATACACTTTAATCAGTGAAACTATTTATTATAATAGCCAAGTTTCTTCTTATTTGTTGACCTACTTGGCGCAGAGGAAGTTCGTCATTCTCATGATTTCCTTCATCTTCATCTGGGTCTTGCTCAACTAACTCAAAGTCAGGTTCGCCCAAGCTCTTCGCAACATTATGGAGTACAATATAAGCAATAATTATTTTCAGCACATTTTCCAACTTTACGCGGCAAACATACTGTAGGATAAGAAACAGGCGTTTCAGTTGGCCGAAACCGCGTTCAATTATAACACTTTCTTGTTTTAAAAGCTTATTATAATTTATTTCTGCACCTGGAGTAGGATTTCTGAAGGAAGTCATAAGGCATGGCTCAATACCATAACCGTCATCGCCAAGTAGTTCAACACTTACTTTATTTATTAGTTGTGATCTAGTCTGTGAATTTCTCCACATGCTGGAATCAAGCACTGATCTAGGCCAACTGACATCAACACTTGTGAACATCTCTCTGGCATCACAAGTGGCCTACATTTAAAGTAGGTTAAAGTAGTCTATGGCGATTTGGTTTCAGGATTCCTATATGTGTACAATCAATTACACAATTACACCAATTGCTGTTGAAAATTTATGCATGCTTTGCCATATCCGCTTGGCCTCCATCAGTTCATGGTTGGTAGTTGGAAAGTTGATCCATTCGTTCGACTGTGCAACTATGCTGTTTACAACTCTATCCACAGTCCGAGATACCGTTGCTTGACTAACAGCCAGTTAATGACCGATACCATGTTGATATCCAGAGTCACCGAGATAGCGAAGACATATCTTCATTTTATGAATACATGAACGTGCTCCTCCTCGAGTTTCCTCATTTTCATTTTTTAAAGTAACGTCCAAGTGAAGGTAAACAAGGTTTGTACTTTTAACATCCCTAATATCCACAATTTCCGCCATCATCGTTTGACCACCTTTCGTTACGAAGTTGAGTCTGCTACTGACCACACTTTAAAGGATATGCTTCCTATGCCAACTATAAGGTGAAGATTACGAATATCCTTTTACTTATGTCACTGCTTTGAAGGATATGCTTATACTCAAAAAGCAAAAGCATTTACTTCAAATTATTATAAATACCATCTGGAGGATTTCCTTCAAAATTTGCAAGTACAAGGATATCCTTTGTTTTATGGATGCGGCTCAGTGAATTACTATACTATAAATGTTTCACCAACTGGAAGATGTCATTTACTTTTCCACCCATTTGTTCTGTCTTTTCTAATTGGCTCTCACGTATGCTGCGCCCTGAAGCTGAGCTAAATTAGATATCACGGCTCACGTCCTTGATTCGACACAATCGGAAGAAATAATATTTTTCTACAGTCCGGATTCTAACTAGGTCAACCATAAAATTACCTGAATCGGTGAAGCAAAATGGAGAGAAGGGGAATTAGCTCTGATTTTACAATGTGTACATATGGCGGAACTCTATGGTATCATGTAGTGTGCAGTAGCTATACCATACCTATCTAAAACTGTAATGGCTCATCGGTGTTCATGTGAACATCACTCAACCATCGGTAGTCGGGTTGTCAGTGGCGGGGTATAACTTTTTAATGTGGGTAAACTTGATTTATTTATATGTGTTTAAAAAATGAAGTGGTTTGAAAGACGCCATACACCTAGATCAGAAATTTGAAGATTACCTTTGTCAACTCTTTCTGATTATCCATGAGCTAATATTTGAATCTACCTCTTTTCATTCGACGTCACTTCCACTTCCATCTGAAAGTAATAAGCTGTCGCGATCGCTTTCTTTGCCAAGATTGACTATAACTGACTCCATGCTGGTGTCGATGTTGTGGTCAAGCTGCCACATTTTTGTTTCCTCGTTCACAGATTCTAGCTATATGGAATTCTCTAGCAAAGCCTTGACGTCTGGTAATTTAAAAGTTGTGTTATGGCTCGCAATATAACCCTTCATTGAGCCCAGATGAGCTTTATTGGGTTCAGTTCACATTGATAGGGCGGTAAACGTAGCACAGTGACACCACAATGACGGGCCATCTCACCAATCACATAACTAATGTTCGCAGGTTTGTAGTGTTTAATTGTTTCGTACACTTCCGCTTTCACACATGAATCGTCAAATGGAATGTCCTTTTCGCGCGACATTGCTGCATCTCACTTTTTCGAGACCTCATATTTGGTACAACTTCGGCTTGACGAGTTCCACTCGCTGAAGCACCACTTGAAACCATCTCTCGAAGCAGCTGGCATTCATTCCGTCATGATAATCACTTCCTTTCTTACAGACGAAAGTTAAGTTCCATCCTCCAAAAAGGCCACTTTTGCTGCCAATATGTGTTACGATCAATCTTTGACGTTTCTCTGACGGTGCACGAAGACCTGTTCACAAACCTTCGATGTTTGCTTGTCGGTTACTTAGAACATTTTAGTCTATCCAGGTTTTCTTAACTGTGTGACCTGCATTTACCCATGTCTCGTCTAAATAATATATTTTGCTGCTCTCTCGACTATACTCAGTTATTGCGCGTACGTATTTTCCACGTCTCGCGACTATTTCAGGTTTCTCTATCAAACGACTTCCGATTACGCGTTTCGTAGCGAAAATTAAGTTCGCGCAGGGTTTTCCTTAATACTTTGACGCTCACTGGGGATATAATTTCATTACTCTTGATTTTTGCATGTATAGCCTTAAGAGTTGGTATCTCATTCATAAAAAAGAATGAATGTACGGTTCAACTTAACGCCATTTCGCTGTCGCCATTTAGCTTAATGGCCTTTCGTCCCTTCAAATGGAACTTTGGATCAGCAGTAGCTTCAGTTTTCTTGTTCCTGTACCGCCCTGCGAACAGTCCACTCTAGGATGCCTGTCGTGCTTTGACAATGCGTAAGTGCATCTCCCTGTGAGTCTTGTTGAAATAATCGAACACGTTGAGCAAGATTTCTTTCGCATCCTTTTTCAGTGCCTTAGGAAGTTTTCTACTTGTTTCCTGGCTTTCAGTGCTTACGGTACCAGTCTCGCCAAGTTCCAAGCTCTACTACGAGCCCCTTCCCACTTCAGTTGTCCCAACTATAGAAATCTTAGTTTTTTTCTTATCAAACACAAATAATAAAAATGTAGCTGGGTGTTATAGGTTTAAAATATTAACAATGAATATGTTGATAATATACAGTAGGAAACACCAACTTTATCACTCCCTAATCAAATTTGCAGCATAAAAATAACACATGTTGCAATTACAGCATATCAACCTATTTTCATTTCAATGCAAAATAAGTCTATAACGCATAGGTGGCTATGAGAAATAAAAGCCATGACAATTTTTTTTATTAATCACAGATGTCAGAATACGTTTAAAATAGTTTTGGGTAGTTGAGGTTTTCAAAATGGGTAGAGAAAAGGTTATTAGTGAGAAAATTCGGTTACTGATAATTAAATTTTTTAATTCTGGGAAAACTCGGAAATTGCAACTTTGTTAGACTTATCGCGGTACAGTGAGAGAAATATTGTTAGAAGATATAACGTAACTGGTTCAGTTAATATTAAGCCACGATATGTGAAAAAAAGTAATATCACAAATGCCGACCGAAGAACATTAAGAAGAATAATCGTGAAAAACAGGCGTGCCAATTATTTACAATTAAGTGCTCTGTGGAGTGACGCTGTTGGAAGGAGAATTTCGAGGTTCACAACTCATAGAGAGGCCCACAAGCTGGGATTTAGCACTTGCAAGGTAAGTTTTCTTATAAAAAAAGTGAAGTAAAAACTCTAAAGTTGCACTACCTGTTTATAGGCCAAAGAAAAGCCACTATTGACTCCACTGCAAAAGAGAAATCGGCTTAGATGGGCTAAAGACCATCGACAATGGACACCTCAACAATGGTGTGCAATACAATGGCAGCAGCGGTGGCCGCAGTAGTAGACTCTTCGGTCTCCTGATCAGTCGCCGTGCGCTGTGCGGGTTCGAGTCCCGTCCCAGGAGAAATTTTTCTCTTGGCTATGGATGTTGTGATTGTTCGTAGGTGGTAGATGGTCTCTGACTGTCGAACGCGGAGGTACCACCCGGCGGTTCTCGTAGGCGGAGCCAGAATGTGTGCATGGTGCATGCACAGGTGTTCCCTCGCCAGAGTCTGTGTGGCGCCCCCCCCCTTTCCCATGTATCCCCCTATAGCCCCACGGTACCCAATGGGTGCTTAGACCTTCGTGATATAAAAAAAAAGTGATGTGGCCCGATTCGAAGTTTGTGTTGGTGACAGTCGCAGTAGAGTTATTCGCAAAAGAATGAAGCATTCCATGTTGACTGTCTGAAGAGAAAAGTGAAATTTTCAGCATCCATTATGGTCTGGGGCAGTATGTCATCAAAAGGAGTAGGAAAAATATTTGGCAATTTTAGAAGAATCGCTTTGGATGAATGATGGAAGAATGTTTGACATCCGGCCAAGATTTTGTGTTCCAGCAAGATGGTGCAGCGTGCCATACCTCAAAAAAGGCTATAAAATGGATGTAAGAAAATAATGAACCAGTTTTGAAATCGGTTTCTAGCAGTCCAGATCTGTCACCTATTGAAACTTTGTGGCACGAGATGAAAAAGGTTCTACGACAATATCCTACTCGTACAATCACCGAACTGAGACAAAAGCTTCAAGAAATATGGGATTGCTTTACACCAAATTTTTGCCAAAACTTGGTTAACACTATGCTCCAAAGAATTTCAGCGTAATAAAACATAAAGGTGATGTTACCCAATGGTGATCTTTCAATTGTTGCTTTGTTAACTTCGCGCATTTATTCGCACATTGTTTATTTGTTCAGATGTTCTATTAGTGATAGGTCTAAGTGATTTCAAATATGTATTTTTACGACTAGAGTGTATTTAAAATCTTTTTGAGAAAATAAATTGTTTTAGAAGTAAATAGTTTCGTCATGTTTAGTTTATAAAGGCATATTTTGGTACAAATCTTGAAGTGGGCCAACTGAAGTGGGAAGGGGCTCGTAGTCTACGCCAATGTCTAGCATGAAAGCGTTGAGGCGTCATCTTATCCCAGGACTGGAATCAGTTTTCATTCTTCCTTTCAGTTTAATTATGGTAATATTCATGCGCGTTCCTTACTCGTAGCATGTTTGTTGATTTTGACTGGTTTTAATGTTATTATTACAAGTAGGCGAGCTCATCAGTGGAAAAACTACAGTACGTTATGATTTCTAAAGCCAAAAAATCATCTTGAATATAATATAAAATATTAATGCAAATGAGATATTTAACAAAAATTCAAACTTCTTACTTACTAGAATAAGCCTAGGGCTTCGCCCGCATGATATTCAATAGCGTTACAGGCAAACAGGATGCCGCGTAGCATCAGCTATTCGCTCTTTGTTCAACAGATGAATCGTAGTGCAAAATCCACATTGAGTAAGCAAATAAATCAAATAAACTTACTTGAAGGAAAAAAATTTAAAATCACCCGAGCGCGGTGGAATGAAAGCCCAAAGCTCATCCGCTAGAGCAAACCAAGCCATTTGACATTGAAAATTACTATTTTCTCATCGAAAGCGTTATTGTGCCTTGTTAATAACAGAATGCTTCCGCGGATTTTTTAGTTCATTTGACGACCCTTATTTTCGTAATAGTAGCATTTATGAATGATCCACCATTTAAACAGCGTACGCAGTTAAAGTAAAGCGATCGTGATTTTTAGATATTTTATTAATTCGATCAGATCGCTGTATGGAAGCTTCCTCTTTAAAACAAGTCCAAAAATTCATAAAGCATTTTACTAAAGATCATTGTAACAAATGAATGAGATCTTGTGAGCATAATACAAAAATGAAAATTGTAATAAAGAAATGAATATAAACTTTAGACCCATATTTTCCCATTTTTTGTTTATTGACATTCTTGTATTCTAATATCTCAAGATGATTGTGGGACATGTTGTTACACGAATAAAATGTGTATTTCGCGTATGAGTCATTACAGTTTTAGATACAGTATAGTTCAAAGTGGTACGTTTTACACATTTCTCACCTTGAAATTTCCATAGCACGTATGTCAAAATGTTGTATGATTTGATTAATAAGAGGCGTCCCTTGCGATCTATACTGTACTGAGCATCTCTATAAGGAGGGTAAAGCAGTTGGTTAGAGACAAACAAAAGTCCGACGCTGGGTAAAGGAGTTTTCGTTCTTGGTGCAGCGAAAAGGACAGCCTAGGAACTCGGTTTCATACTTGACTTTAATAGCAGCAATCCATTACAAAACTGGCTCCTGCTCCACTGAAGAACCACATAAAAGACACATAGAAAAGCATGGGTTGTCTAAGCAGTTGACCTTCTCATTTCTAAGGTCCAGTGGGTTAAAGTCTGAGACTGAGGGGTTCATTATCGTTCGTTAAGATTGTGTCTTTAATACCTTGACATATCATAGTAGGGTTATGGGTCCGAAAGTACCCGATGCCAAATTCAGAGTTTGTCGACAGGCGCCAGAGACTGTTATGCATTTCTTGTCAGCGTGTAAAGCATAAGCTGGCACCGCCTAGGTCCATCTGCACAACACAGCTCTGCGAGCGCTATACTGCTATTTGGGGCACTGTTACTGTATAGATCATTGATTCCCAAAGTGGTCTATATCGACCCCTAGGGGTCTATGACAACCTGCAAGGGGTCTACGTCAGCGAAAAAAAATTTGGGAGTCCATGAAATGAATATGGGGGTCCACGATAGTGGATCTCAACACATACACTGGTAGTACCTATTTACTTACATCATACTATCTTATAATATCAAAACATATACATTATTTTTAAAATTACCTATGAAGTAAAAAATTAATTATATATGTCTATAAAACTATGTAAGCTGTAGGATGTTGGTATTCACTTTGTGGTCGCAATACATTTCGAACTTGTAAAAACCTGAGAGTCGCAGTCTCAGAGCTTCGCTACCTTGCACTGACTTGTTCAATTCGTCACTCTATAAATACGAATGTGGCACAAATACATTTATTCGTTTCCTGAATCTTGAAAAGGAAAGTGCTAAGAAAATATTTTAAAAAATATAAACAGATAGTATATCACACAAATTATAGTGAGTCAGTGTTATTTTGTTTGAGAGTGCTGGAGATAAGTAAGTACAGTATTTTTTATTAAATTTTAGGTTTGTACTCGTCGAATTATGGAATGTTTTCGCAAAAATCAAAAAACATTTTTAATATACAGCTGCTGGATTTTCTGTCTTATTTAAATAATTTAATTTTGCAAACAAATGACTGATGCCATGTCCGAATCTAAAAAGAAATGTAGACAGTACAGTGGTGATTATTTGAAATTTGGCTTCATTCAATCATTGCCGGACAAACAATCGCCTATGTGCCTTTTATGCAACAAAGTTTTGGGCAATGACGCTATGAAATCATCTAAACTGCAAGATCATCTGAGAAGATGCCACCCTGATAAAACACTGAAAGATTTGAAATACTTTCAAACACTCAAAGATAAATTTCAGAAGAGACCTACACGGGACAGAATATTCGCTTCGACGTCACAAAGAAATGATGATGGTTTGCGGGCGTCTTACAATATCTCGTTACTTATAGCAAAATCCGGAAAACCGCATACTATCGGAGAGAAGTTAATTTTGCCAGCCATTGAAGAGGTTTTAAAAACTGTTTTACACAAACCTGCATCTGATATCATGAAGAATTCCCTTAAGCAACAATGCTGTTGAAAGACGTACTGATGAAATGAGTTCTGATATTGAAAGCTTCTTATGTAATTATTTGCAAACGACCCATTTCTCTATACAACTGGACGAGTCAACTTTACCTGATAATGCAGCATTATTATTGGCATGTGTTCGTTTTATTATGAATCAAGAAATCTACGAAGGACTGCTCTTCGCAAGAACTTTGATAACCGACACTAAAGGTGAATCAATATTTCATGTTTTGAAGGATTACTTCATTGAAAAAGCAATTCCTTTATCAAATATAATATCAGTAGCTACAGATGGAGCACCTGCCATGGTTGGACGTTATCGTGGATTTATAAGCTATTTAAAACAAAATGTGTCAGGGGTGTTAGCAATACATTGCGTCATCCATCGACAACATTTAGTTGCTAAAAACTTGAGTGTTAGATTGCATGAATCACTTCATTTAGTCATTGATGCAGTAAACCGAATCCGAAGCAACGCGTTGAATACGTGGTTATTTGCGCAGTTGTGTGAAGAAAATGACGAACACTTTCATCAATTACTCCTTCACACTGAAGTACGCTGGCTGTTGAAAGGCTTATGTTTGACAAGATTTTTTGCACTTTTTGAGACTATTTTAGAATTTCTGGATACTAAAGAAAAAATTATAAAAGAAAATTTAATGAAGAGCAAAACAGACATCGCCTATTTAACAGATTTGTTTACAAAATTTAATATGGTTAATTTGCAATTACAAGGCGACAGTTTAAATTTGATTAAAACAAAGTCCATCTTATCAGCGTTTCTTGCCAGAGTTAAACTAATGAATCAAAATATTGGACGGGGGGAATTTTCTCAATTCCCCAATTTGTCACAGACAAGCTGCCAGGACGACGTTTCAACTTACGTTCAACATTTAAATGCCCTCTATTCAGATTTTGAATCTATGTTTGAGGATATTTTGACTATGGTAATACCACCGTGGATAATTAATCCATATGGTGACATAGAAGAAACGAATGTCATAATACAAGAGGAACTGACTGAACAAGTACAAACGAAGAACTTAAGGTTCAGTTTAAAAACGGATATCAGCAATTCTGGCTGCAAAACAACATACCCGTTACTTATCCCGTATTATGGAATATAGCGAGGAAATTTTTAATTTCCTTTCCATCGTCATACCTAGTGGAAAGGGGGCTCAGCGCTGTTACCAATCTCCTAACGAAAAAAAGAAACAGACTGGACATCATTAGCCGAGGAGATTTAAGATTAACCCTTACAAAATTGACGCCAAATGTTGATAATTTATTATTAAAGCATCAGGTTCGTCCTTCTCACTAAAAATATCGACTTATTGCTTATGCTATTTTATTTATAGTTTATTTTATGTTTATTGGTGTCTGACCAATAAATGCCCGCATTGATTTTTTTTTTTATAGAAAATATTTTCTTTTTAAATTATTCTGAAATTTCAAGGATAGGTACACACTAAAATTCGTTAATTTTTTGCCTATTTTTAGATAACTTAAACCTATAAGAAGCGGAATTTAATCAAACTAACAGTGAAATTGTTGTAGAACATACGTTTATGTTATAATTAATAAACGAACTCGCTTATTGTACTATTTTAAGTAAAAAACTTTTTTTTTATTATTTTTAATTTTTTTTATTTTATCCCTCTTATTTTCTTTTTCAATGCGGGCACTTATTCCCAATGCGGGCACTTATTGGTCAGACACCTGTTTATTTAATGTTACGTATATTTTACATAACAGATACAAAATTTTATTTTCAGTAGTTTTAATTTAAATTCAATTAATAAATGTATAAATTGACATGTGTCTTTACTTTAAGTTTTTAACACTAAACTTCACTACAGTTAGAAATGTACAGGCAATCAATATCAGGTAAGTAGGAGGTCTACCCAACACGGAAGAACATGGCAAGGGGTCTACGACACAAAAAAGTTTGGGGAACTCTGGTATAGATGATACACCAGTGCTGCCCCTATATTCCAGGCGGACATAGTTTTTCTCGACCACAAACAGAAGCCGATGCTCGTTATTGAATTTTGGCTCCTTTCGAAAATCTAGTAGCAGAAAAACGAAGCATCAAAAGCTCCTCAACTAGGTTCGCAGGCTTTGGCCACACCACATTGTCGATGTGCTAGTTATGGTTTTTAGATCATTGAGTGGGAAGAGGCATACAATGCTCTCTGCAATAAAATCCATACCGATATGCCGAGCAAGCATCTTAGCTTGGAGAATGCAGAAAGCGGTCATCCTCAGTTCCCTTCATCTACTTAGGGCTCACGATTTGTGGACTAACTAGTTGCTTACTAGTTCATAACGGAACAGCAGCTTGGTGTGTCGAAGCAAAAGTTAACTATTCCTTTTTTTCTTTTATTGTCTTCATAATAATAGTAATAATAACAATAATTATTATGATTATTATTATATTACTATTACTTAGAGAATTGTTGTGTCACAGACTACAACAAATCATAAGTCAAAAATAAATGATAGTATAACAGACATATACAGTTGAAAAACAATACAATACAGATTAAAAGCCAGCTTTGCATGAAACGTACACTTCCAGGCTTTGAAAGCACTCATCTGCTAGGAAGGATTTCAATTTATTTTCAGAGCTGCTTAGTAGATACACAACTCTCAACCAACGTCATCTCGTGGATATGATTTTTGACTTTTTGGCAACTCCGCAATTTCCAAGGATTTGGTGTAAGGCATAGGTACGTCGGCACCTGTTATCCTCAAGGCTGGCTGGTCCAGGTGGAAGAAATTCTCGCTTTCCATTATATGTGCTAATATTTTTATTCCACGGATAACAGATAATTCGTTTGATACTTGGTTGACGATGGTTTCCATATCAAGCGGCCTTAGACTCCTCAAATTTATAACTTCGCATTCTATTCCTTTACTAGCTAGTTGTTTCGCTGTTTCTAATAATGTTTCTACTGCTTTTGAATGTGCTGCTATTGTTATATGCTTTCCTGGTTTTTTATATTTTGGCTTTCCCTATAGGTAGAACAAAGTCTTTACTTAATGCCTCATACTTAATCTTTCAGCTTGCCTCTAAATTGTTATCAATGACCAATTGTGGCAACAGGTAGAACCTGCGTGTATCACCGACTAATATCAAAATTACCGGAATTCTTGTAAGGCATTTTAGTTTCTATCGACTGGCCTATTCATGTTTATGAAAGATACGCCAATGAAAAGAGTCGCAGTAGTCACGTCTCATGAAACAATACAGCTCTACGGTATAGTCACATTTCCATTGTCTGTCAGTGGCAGGCAAGCAACAACGGGCGTTATACGAGCTGGTCATTATACATGTAATCGGAATTGCAAACTCCTGTCTGCTTCCACATATCTGTAGGGCATGAGCAAATGAAACAAAATTTGATGTGAGCTCAAAAAATTCGTGGAAAATCCACCAACCAAGCATTCTTGCTACATTCAATTTGATTCTATCAACCGTTTCTATACAGTACTTTTTACAAGTATCCCGCACTAATTTTTCTTACTGGTCAAATTAAAAAGCTGAAACTCGGGGTGACGGATTTATTCAAAAATGCTGTATTTTAACGATAATCACTTTTGGAAATTTCAAGGTGAAGTTGGGCGCCATCTTGGAACATTTTTTAATAGAATGGGAGGCATATGTTGCTATATTTAGAATCACGTTAAGGTAATTGCCATCATACACACAACATCTACCCTGTTATTTGAATATTTCCTCCAAAATAAACCATACAAATTCAAAAATTGACAAAGTGGATAAATATTTAGGAATTTTTTAGAGGAACATTTTTGGTGGGACATTCATGCAGTCTACATTTTTAAAAAAATAAGATTCGTCACATACAAAATTAAATTCCTCATAGGCATATTGACCTTAATTGAGCCGTACCTAATGTTTGGCGTATTCGGTTATGCACATCATGTCTAGCGTATTTAAACGATATAGAAAAACTATGTTCGGCAAATCAAAATTATATTGAACAAATGATTTATACAATGAAACAAAATTATTCGATATCAAGTAGCTTTATTTCTTACATGCTATCAGTCATTACCACAAAGTTGTCAGCGCGATAAAGTTGCAAATTTCCATGATACTCCATATGAGTTTCGTTCAAAAACTCCGCCTAACCTCATAAAACCATAACGAAGCGATCTTTCATCTATTTGGCTCGAAAATTATATTATATAAAATGGATACGTTTAATAGGAAGACAACATACTGAACTCATATCAAATATTCATTAAAACCTATCTTCTTTACATACTACTTGTATACACCTCCATGATATGAATTTTGATTTTTTTTTAACTTTTTTGTTTTGTTTTTGGAACGTCACACGTTTCAGCATTTAACTGATCCATGTACAGACACTGTCCTTCTGCGGATTAAAACATTCATTTACCCATCCGATATTGTTATTATTATCATGTAAAGTATACTAAGGGTGGATTTCACAATTTAACAAACCATTATTCTGCACCAATAGGGTACGAGTACCAAACAGTCCGTTAAATATACGCAATCACCCTCAAGATCCCTCCGTCAAATTTTTGGCAGCAAATAGCATCAAAGTATTCAAAACAAAACACTGTAAAATACGAAGTGACAGCTTGCCATTGAAATCCTTTCAGTTTATTAAATATGATGAAATTATGTAAAACTGAGCCAAAATTTTTAAAAATGCTTGATGTCTGAGTAAAATCTATTTTTTCAGATAAGCTGAAGGTTTTTCCATGTTTACTGCAACTTTTGTAATCCATATGTGATTATATCACCTACTGTGTGCTTATAGTTTATCCTACATTTGCAAACTTGCACTTCCAAACCCTTACATGAAAAAGCCTTTTCACTCAAATTTTGGTTAGGTGTTGCATGTCAACACATTCATACACTTCATTCCAGTTCCTCAACGATATTCTAACCCCACTGGTCCGAAACTGTTCAGCAGTTTCAACATTCATACATACAATTGCAGTTGCAGTTTTTTGTTTTAATTTCAGTGTATAATCAGTCGCACCATCGGTGATGGTACATTCAACATAACCACGTATTTAGGGGTTCGTGCAGATTTAACGTGTACACGAAGTTATCATTAGGCGCTCCTCTGGCGATGTCCGATTGCGTTCAGGTGCCTTCTGCAGGTACCTCTTTACCACGGTCAGGAGTTGATACCAGCGCGACTCCCGTTTTTTTTTTGCTCTAGGCATGGCCATCCTCAATTAATCGCACAAAAAACAAGTCCAAGGCAGAAAAACACACTCGAAGACGAACACCAAAACAAATCTCTACTGCAAATTCGTCAACAACTCAAACAAAAACAACAGATGATTCACCGCCTGGCTTTGATCGTAAATCGTCGTGGAACACGAGACACCACAGAATTATTATAGTTACGTCAATACGAGCATAGAACAGTATAGAAAGGGCTATTCAAGGGTAAGAGGAGTTCCGAAACCACCCGAATCATGTCAAAAAATGGCTGTGACGTCACCAAAACGTGTGACCACCACTGGAAGTCACTAGCTAGTTACCGTCTGGCGGCGTAACATGAGGAGGACACTGGTGTAGAAACAGCTGATCCTTAAGTTCGGTTACGTTAAGTCGTGCATGAACCCGACATTATTTTTCAGTAATTACTAATAATTTTAGGTCTATGTCTACAGTAATTGCATTATGCACCTCGAAGAAGTAGGAATTAACATGTTTCACACATATCGGTGTTTTAGGATGCGGACGACATATTGTTTTGATTGCTTTGAAGATATTCATTAACCCATAAATTTATAACAAATGATTACTATTATGATGTAAAGAGAGATGAGGAATTGGTTGGAATACACTTTATATTCTATTTTCTTGCAAATCCGCACAATTCAACAGGTATGTGTAGCTATAATGATCTCATAATATACACACAGTATATTGAACTTAACAAATTTCGAGATTGCCATGAATTAACAAACGACCAAACCTGCTGCCAAATTTAACAGCTAGAAAATCGACCTATTATTTCTCCCATTCCCATTCGCTGAGGAGATAATGGATGGTCAAATGTACACCTACAACATAAATCAAAATACATAAAAGTTGTCCTGTTTTCTCTGTACAAAAGCATCATGGAATCAAAAAGTGTTCTTGTTTATAATACAGTCGAATTTTCACGATTTTGTTCAACATTTTAATAGAAATCACTGATATTCTGAGACCTTTGACAGCTTCCGTCAAATTGCATTTCGATAAGGTATTTTACTATTGGTCCATAATAATAATGTTGGTGAAATCGGCCCTAAATCACACAGAAAATGCAGCACCGACTGGGAGTGCTGTAATTTTCTGGCACAGTGCTTCCAAAACACAGTACTGTATTTTGACGAATAAAAAGCGTGCTAGCGCTCATCCCGTTTCGATAGATGGCCGAGCTCTACCAAAGAGCCTTCGTTTCGGCTGATCGAACGAGAGCTTAATCTGGTAGGAACTCATCTCGTCATAAACAGCAGCTGCTGGGGAAAAGCTATGCTATTTGTTTAGGTAGTAATTTTTTCCAGATGACCTCCTCACTCTGTGCAAGGGCCAGATAAGACATAGCCTCTAGTGCTACTCACATGTTTGGGGCACTGCCGCCCCGACTACATTATCCATCTTCGATGCTGTTCATAGGAGGGTTTTCCGACTAATAAGAGACTCTTCTCTAACGAAAAGCCTCGGGACCCATTTGAAGGCGGGCCCCGTCGGTGACCTAGCTCTCTTCTGCCGCTACGCCAATGGGCTTTGCTCTACGGAACTCGTCTATCTTATGCTGCAACGTGATGTGCCTGCCGCACATACCTGCCTGACTTCGACCTCTTATCCTAACCGTGTCGACCTTCGTACATCCAGAGCTGTCCGATACGACCGCCGCTTTGTCCCTAGGGTATCGAGATTGTGAACGAAAGCTATATTACTAGATTAGATTCAAAATTTTTCAAAAATTTGGAAAACTTGTTTTCCACAGCTTTAAACTTTTGGAGGTCCTTGTTAAAAAAGTTGACGGGCCCTCAAAAACTTATTACGTTATATTGTATGGCCAAACTAGAGGGCGCCACTTACAGTACTGTTTCGGTAAATAACTTATCTTAACTTTTTTTGCTACCCTTTATGCAACAACTGACTGAAAAATCCCATTTTCTCGTATTTCCACAACAAAAAAGGTTTACTTGTTAGTGTCTAAAACTAATAGTTTTCGAGATATTTGGTTATAAAAGTTCCAATGCGTTATTTGTACCATGATGATAAAACATTTTTATAACATAATAATCAAGTTGCTTTGGATAATATCTGAGTGGCGTTCCTATGGTTTTTAACAATAACAAATAAGGATGGTAACAAAACTAACAAACGGAAATAATAACTACAAAAATCGTTCAAAATGAGCACCACCTTGCCTAACACACTCTCGAGCTCGACGAACTAATCCTTGCTGCACTTTCCAAATCATTTGAATGTAATTTTCTATCTCCTGGCTATGGTGGAAAATTCTTTGTCGAAGATCATCTACAGTTTCCACTGGTGTATTGTAAACGCGTCGTTTTAAATCACCCCAGAAGTAGAAATCCATAGGATTTAAATCTGGTGATCTGGCCGGCCACGATACAGGTCCTGATCGGCCTTTCCACTGGTCTGGATAAATTTTTTATGTACTCCCGCACTAATATACTAAAATGAGGTGGAGCGCCGTCGTGCATAAACCACATATTCATGCGTGTTTGTAATGGAAGATCTTCCAGCAGAGTGGGTAATTGTTCTTCAAGAAATTGTAAATACCTGTCCGTTTAGTCTAGGTGGTAACTCAACGGGTACTATTAAATATTGGCCAATTATTCCTGCCCACAAATTAATTTGAAATTGTATTTGGTAGCGGGTATGTATTATTGCATGAGGATTTTCGTCTGCATAAATGTGAAGATTATGCGAGTTAATGGGCCCATCCCTTCCACATCCTGCTTCGTCC